ATATATTATGCAGAAAAAGATCAAACATGTGTTGGTTAAATTAGTTACCTATTAATTAATATAAAAAAATTTCATTATTAATTCTTCATTGTAAACTAATAATAATGTTTATCACTATTAAGTATTAATAGAATATGATTAATACTTAATATTAAAAAAATAAAATAGAATTTTTTATTATTATTTATAAACTAGAAGTATCATAATATTTAACACAGTTATTTATCCGAATTCGAATTCAAGACTACATATTAAATTATATAATCGGTTGTAGAATAGGAACAATTTGGTAATGTAAGTGTATAAAATATTTTTAAAAAATTATGAAGGCTTAAACATTTACCACTTCTAATCGTATTTGTTAACAATGAATTTCTATTTATTTATTTTTATTAAATAAATAATACATGCATGCATAATAGAAATATATGATAGGTTTATTAATTTTTATAATAATAATTATTTTAAAAATTATATAATAATAATTTTTGATTGGTTAATGAATTGTTAAAGATATTATTAATCCACACTTTTACAAATTAAATGTGCATTTTCAAAACTTTTTGAAGAAAATTTAAATAATAAAAAAATTAATTTTTAATTATTCAAAGAAATTATTTTAAGCAAAAATTTATAAATATAAATTATTTTGAGAAATTATCAAGTTGCCAATAGTTTTGTGAAGAAGTACATTTGTGTATCAATGTATAACTGAGCTTATTATTTAGTAAGAGTCCATTTGAAAAAATAATCAAATTTTAATTATTCAGAGAAATTATTGTAAGCAAAAATTTATAAATATAAATTATTTTGAGAAATTATCAGTTTGCCAATAAATTTGTGAAGAAAGTGCACTTGTGTACCAATGTATAACTGAGTTTATTTTTTTAGTAAGAACATACAAATTTATACATATTTTTGAGAATTTTTTTATTACTTTTTATTTTATTTTTAGTGAAAAAATCTTAAAAAAATATTTTTACTTTATATCTAAACAAGCTTTAAATCAATTTTCATTCGATTGTGATTTTTAGTTGAGTTTTTAGCCACATTGTAAATTAAAAAGCCTTATTTTAAAGTTTAAATAAAAATTTTACACCCTCAATTAGTTAGAAATTCAAATTATTGAGTGAACAATATTTTTAAAGTAATTGCAAATTCATCATATACGACTATCTAATTTTACAAAACAAATAGCATACGGAGGATGGAGAGGATTTGGGGCATGCCTATGGGGAGTCAACCACCATCGGAGTCGCCGGATGGGGGAGTCGGGAGTCTTGAGATGAGTCAGACAATGACCTTTAAGGAGAAGGTACTGGGTGCTCCGACTACGCGGCCGGCTGTTCGAGATCTCATTAAAGAGGGGGCGATGACGTTGGAGTTTGAGGGTGGTGATCGGTTGCTACCCAAATTTAGCATTACGGCGCCCACCCTTAAACAATTGTGTGAGCCATGGGAACAGTGTCTGTAACATCCCAAAATTTTATTTTTATGTATTGGGATTATTAGAAGGTTTATCATATTTTTACGTATTTTACTATTCATGTATACGTATTTCTAAATAGTATTTTTTTTCAATTATTAGAATTTGAATAGGAAATGGCTGCGGTGGAATGCAGAGGCTGCGGAATTCAATTGAATTCCAATTCTATTTATTTGAATATTTTAATAAAAAGTAAATTTTAATATATAATAATGAAATAATATTATTTTAATCTATGCATAGTAACTTCATAAATTCTATAAATAGGAATTTAAGGTTTTTGAAAATTCATAATTTTAGAGAGAAGAAATTCTAGAGAAATAAAAAGAGAGAATAAGAGAGGAGGTTCTGCTCTAATTCCGGTCCCGATTTAAGAAAAAGAGGAGGAGGTTCTGCCCAAGTTCCTATTCATCCAGGTACGGGGGAAAAGGGGATTATTTATATGTAGAGTACATGAGGGAATTGGGTAGAGGAATAATTTCTTAAAATCACGTTTAATTTATCTGAATGGAAGGCCGAGCCTCCTATTAATTTATAATTTGGAATTTATCTGAATGGAAGGCTGAGCCTCCTATTATTTTGTAATTTAAATGTTCTTGATAAAAGACTAAAATTTACATCTTTGTTATATTTTTATGATTTGGAAAATATAAATGGATTCCTAACTAGGAGGCACTGCCACCTTTACTGGAGTTAATTTATATTTTCTTTATTATTATCTATATATATATGTATTCCTAGTTTTTCACTATATTGTAAGGGTAGTACTTATAAGACTTAATCTGGTATGTATGAGTTTGAATTATCACATTAATTCCATGTTCTATGTATGATTGAGGTTGGATTGAGGGGAAAAGGTTTTGGTTAGGGTTTTCATGATTTCTTCATGATTTCCATGGATTAATGGTTAAAACTTAATTTTATTGCTTAAAATGATGTTTTTTGATATTGTTTATGTTTTTTTT